GTAAATTAATGAGTGTAGGAGCATACGAGACAATTAACTATTCCTAAAAATAAATTCTTTTACTCTTTCTTTCTTATAATAATTGTTATTTTTTTATTTTTTCTCTAGTTTAAGGATTTATGAATTATTTATGTATTTACTTATATTAGTTTTAGAAAAAAAACTAAAAGATAAAGTAAGACTTTTTATAATGGAATAATTAATCAAAATAAATAGATAAGATAAAGTTAAAATAGGAAAAAAAAAGGTTAAAACGAACATTTAGCCCCTCACCTTACAAAATTGGTAGGTTTTAGCCCCTAATCTTATAATATGACAGTTGTAGCCTTTTATCTTATAAAGTTGGTAGGTTTTAACCCCCCACCTTACAAAGTTGGTAAGTTTAGCCCTTCACCTTATATTATGTCATTTTTAACCCCTTATCTGTACGAATCGAAAAAAAATAGCCCCTATTTAACATCAAATTTTAACATTCTATTAGTTCTGCTAGCTAACTGACTATCAATTTTATTAGCTGATTGCTAATTCTGTTAGTTGATTGTTAACATCTGTTAGAATTCTGTTAATGAAACTAACAATAAAATTGAATTTAAATTTTATATTTTTTATAACGGAATGCTAACAGATATTAACAATTAACTGATATAACTAACAGAACTTTATAACCTGATGTTAGGTTAGGGTTATTTTCTTTAATTCATATCAATGATGGGTTAAAAATATCATAGATGGGTTAAAAATATCATAATATAAGATAAAGGGTTAAAACCTATCAACTTTGTAAGATAAATGGCTAAAACTATCTTATTATAAGATGAGAGGCTAAAACCTATTAATTTTGTAAGGTGAGGGGCTAAATTTTGGTTTTTACCAAAAAAATATTTATCTACCTTAAAAAGTAAAGAAATGATAATTAATTTAGAACAAATTTAAAGTTAAAAGACAACAGTTATTTTTTTAAAAAAAGGTAGGGTTAAGAAAAAGCACAATTAACTGCTCATTCCATCCAGTTTTAAAATAAAATATAAATGTAATAATTTATTAACAAAATTTCATATTTATCTTTATTTTCTAATTAAGTACCACTAAAATAAAACTTTTTTATTTAATATTTGTTGTAATTATTTTTTAAAATAGAAATAAAATAAAAATAAATATATTAAATGACATTTTAGAAAGGACAAGTGGATAACTAAATTTCAACATCCTAAATTAAAAATTAAGTTATTAAAGTTGAATGGATGGAGTACATTTTTACCTTGTGCTTATTTATCAGTTGATGCAAAACAAAAACTACTAAATATTACTCTCTTCGTACCAAAGTAATTATTATTTTTTAACTTTGAATTTGTCACAAATTAGGACATTAATATAGATACCTTCTAGTTTAATGCATTACACATTACATTCATTAAAAAATTACTATTTTTTAGTTTGAAATTAAATGTGAAAAAACTTTAAAACTATAAATTTTAATGACTAAATTAATGAGTGCTACCAAGTTTATTGAGCTAGAGAGAGTGTACCAATTATTTTCTCCAAAAGTAATTGTTATTTTTTAATTTTTTAAGATAAACAAATATTTTTTATACTTTAATCCTATAATTACTATTTACTTTAATTAATTATCATATTACAAAAAGTTTCTTTTTATTTTTTAATTTTTTCTAAAAATAATATAAATAAATACATAAATTACTCTTAAATTCTTAATTAAAAAAATAAAAAAATAACAGTTATTATATATATAAATATATATATATATATATCAAATGAATTT